TCGAGGGGCTGGACAGCCTGAAGCGGGCAGGGCGACCGCGCCGCCTTCTTCCGGCCGGTGCCCGCTCCCGATGCACGGCCGCCGCCGCCGCCGCGGCCGCTCCGGGAGAAAGTTGCTGCCCGCCGCGCTCGGGCGCTGCGGAGTTGGAGGCTGGCGGGTCTCACTCGAGACTCACGCCCCGCGCCTGCCCGAGCTGGCGTTGCGGAGCGGGCGGGAGGCGGGGCCGCGGGTCACGTGCAGCCCCGGGACCAGCGGGGCCCAGCCCGGGAGAGGCTCCGCCCCCTCCGTGGGCGGGGCCGGGCTCCGCCAGCTCCGGGCTCCGCCCCCAGGTCCAGGAGCACCTCGCATCCAGGCTCCTTCGTTCAGGGCTCTGGCGTCGCTAGGGAATTAGCCCTGGTCTGGGGGCTGCAGCTGGGCATCGGGCCAATGTGGGAATGCGGGGCAATAGGCTCCCACACCTGAGACACTGGCTACAATGACTGCACGGTTGGGGGGCCAGGGAGAGAGCCCCTTAACACATCCTTGACTTCCCTCTGCCAGCCTGGGGATGGCCTTGACGGGAAAGGGCCTAAAAAAAACCATCTTGGTGTGGCACATAGCAGGTACCCTTCACTTTATAATATTGGGACGTCAATGAGTTTGTGGGGGAGCAGTTCAGGACTGTGTTCTTCCATGTGTATAACGTGTTTGTTCTCATCGCCAGTCCCTCCTCGATTTATGCTTATTTTAAACACATGGTACATCTTGATTCTTTATGAGGACGGAGATCATATATCTCCCCAGGTGAATCCCTGGATCCTTCTCTGGATCTCTGATGTGTCAAAGAAAATTCACCTTTCACTCTTGTATAACCAGGTACAGTAGTTCCCAGGGCTAGAAAGTAAACCCAAGAATCTGACTTGTGATTTAATAAGCAATCTTCACCCCCCTGCAAGCTCACGGAAGGGAAGGCTGTCTTCTCCCCTGAGGAATCCCCACTGTGGCTCTCCATTTGCAGGGCATTTTGAATTACTTCATTTTGGGGACCAGTTTTTTAAACTGTTAATTGCCCATTCGTTTATGTTTGTTTGTCTTCTCTCCCTGTGACTTAAATCATTCTTCAGAAGAGAAACATGATTTTGTCTCTGATTTACTTTCGTTCTTCAGGCTGAGGGCAGAAGGTAAAGAACGAAAGCATTATATGATTGTATTCCTAATGTCAGTGCTTATTTGAGCAAAAGATTTCTTAGCCTGAGGCCTATTTTCATGTAGTCCAAAACTTTTTTCTCTTAAAGAAAATGCTTTTGTCGCTCGTTTTAATAAAGTTGTATTAGAATTTGTCAAAATTGCTTTTAGTATTTGTATTATCAGTCATGATTATAGCCCACAGTATAGCACTTTCCTTTCCAGCAACAAGAAAAAACACATTAATGAGTTCAGAGGACTTAACTTCTTAAACTTACCGTGTGGCTTCAAAGCAAGGCTGAATCCTCATTCTCTAGGATCAGTGAAACAGAGCTTTTAGCTCTGAAGCAATGAACGCGCCTTCATATTGACAGTCTGCACAGATTCAGGTGAGAGCGCCTCTTTCCCCGCCTGTACAGTGTAGTAAAACTGCGCCACCTGGTGATGAGCCTGTTCACGGTTCTGAGGAGAAAGGCTCCCCAGATCAGATCAGCTGGTAGTGCTGACAGTTCTTCTCTTGTTGAGATGAAACTGCCTTTTATTCCTAGAACGTGGAGTGAACACCTTGCCTCCCGAGCACCCCTTGTTGGAAATCCACCTCTGTGTAACAGAACACTAAACTACTTAACTGGTTCTGTTCCATATCTTCAGGGCATTTAAATACTTACAATCGGGTTACATCTGAAAACAAATATGACAGAGAAAAAAAGGCAGCGGGAGTTAAACGGAGTTCTTCTCAGCCCACGGAGGGAGCCAAATTCAATTTAGCACCACGTCCTAAGTCCAAAATGGAGTTCCCAAAGCCTGCCCCAACAGCAGGTCACGGAAGCCCATCAGCTGAGAATCAAAAGACATGTGTCCCATCGCTATCTCTGTTTTATTCTACAACTTTTGACAAACCACTCAATTAGTTTTTGCCTTATTTTCCTATTTCCAAAGGATATAGTGGTGCAGCAACTGCTCATTAACTAGAGTAAGCATGAAAAAGTATTTTGAAATATTAATTGCTATTGCCAGTAAATAATAATTATAAACATCATTATTGATTTGCAAGGTGAGTTCAAAAGCCCCAGTTTTAAGTACATTTGCTTTACAGCCTCCAGGAAGATTAAGGGCCCATTGTAGAAAAGGGAAAGAAGAGAGAGAAGCATTATAGATTCTGAATATCAAGCAAGGACATTCATCATTAGTCCAATAAAAGTTGTTGTGGTCGTTGTTGAAATGGGATGGTGGGGTTGGAGGCAGAGTGTTGTCTTTATGTTTGTTGGGTGTTTATTTTTAATTTCACAAGATATGTATTCTTGTTGTAAAGCAGTCTAACAATAATAACAAAGATTCCTTCCCAATTATCTCTTCCACCATAACAGTCCCATTTCCCTAGAAATGAGCCCGCCTACTACTTTGAAATGAATGGTCCCAGAACTTTCTCTATGCATGCATATGTATGCATTTATATGTACACTGTAAAATGCAGAGGTTTTTTGTTTGTTTTTGTATTCTTTCAATTGTAAAAGAAAGAACACCCAAATTAAACTGGTGAAACCCAAATCAAAAATCATAGCAGAAAAGGAGGGTTTATTGGCTCTTGTCTCTGAAAAGTTTATAGTAAACTGGTTTCAAGTACAGCTGGATATAGGACTCAAACACCAGCATGTCCTCAAGAGAAGACTTTGCTCCATCTCTCCACTCTGCTTCATGCTACTTGGGCTCCATTCTCAAATTCCATGTGGTGGCCAAATGGCTACAGCAAGCTCCATTCTTATATCCCATTCCACTCCTGTCTGAGGGGCAGATAACGAGCTTCTTTGCAGTCCTAGCAAACTTTTTATTGTATCTAATTGGACCTGTTGATTATGTTGTCAGATCAAGAGAAAGGATGGCCCTGGCTGTTGTGACTCAGTTGGTTGGAGCTTCCTCCAGTACACCAAAAGGTGACAGGTTTGATTCCCGGTCAGGAGGCAATTAATCGATGTTTCTCTTTCACATTGATGCTTCTCTCCCTTCCTCTCTCTAAGAAAAAGACAAAGGATGAAGGTTATTTCAGGGGTCAGGTCTGACTTGAATTTATTTAGATGCTGAAGGTAAAGAAGACATTGATAATTCAAGAGCCTGAATGATTGATAGAGCTAAGTCCCAAAAAAGGCAGGGAGGATAAAGAGCAAAATCATTAGGGGCAAGATCATTAGGGGAGAGGCTAACCTAGCCATCGATAGGCAGAGGCACATGTCTTCCTCTGAGAAAAAGGCAAGCAAAAAGGAATAGCAGGAATGAAGAACATGGTGTTAATAACAAGAATGGGGAAAGAGTTCTGTTAAATAGATAAATAGTTGGAGGGGGAGGGAGGGAGCCTCGACATTGTAGGCACAGAGACCTGAGTTCATATCTTTACTCCTTACTTGACCATGGAACCCTGAACAACCTACTTATTTTCTTTAAGCATCAGTTTTCTCTTCTGTAAAAGAAGGTTAATAATGCTGTATCAGCATTTAATGGTTTCAATTCTGAGTAACAGAAACTCCACACTCAAAACGTTCTAATATACTACAGAAATGTATTATTGAATAAACCTGAATGTCCAGAGGTGGTCATCAGGAATGGTATGCTTGGTCTTTGAAAAATGGTATCGGTCCTAACTGGTTTGGCTCAGCGGACTGAAGCATCTCAGGTTCAATTTTGGTCAAGGGCAGGCTCAATCCTCGCCCCAATCTGAGTGCTTGCAGGAGGCAACCAATGTGTCTTTCTCACATCAGTGTTTCTGTCTCTTCCCCTCCCCACCCACCCTTCCACTTTCTCTAAAAATCAATGGAAAAATATCCTCGAGTGAGGATTCACAACAATCCAGTAGGTTTTATTTTGCTTTTTGGATCCAAATTGTAAACTCAATTATGTGACTCTGTCTGAAGTTGTAAGCACGGTAATATTATGACTCTGCTTTTTAAAATTGAGTGAATATATCATGTTAAAACCAAGCAAAATACCCAGCTGAAACAATTTGCTTATATTTTATAGTTGGCTAATGAAGTTATTTAGAAAAATTAATAAATGTGTGTCTCCATATACTATCCTTTTGACTCAGAAGAACCAAATCTTTTAATTTGATAATACCAATTGTGTAACTCATTGTCCATGTAAGTTAATGCCATTAACAAACAGCCAGTAGTACTTGCAATGAAAAATAAGATCATTTAAACTAACTTAATGCAAAAAAATATTTCAGCAAGAGTGGCCAACCTCACTGTTTCCAAAAGAACACAATTGTAATTTCCTTCCAGATTCTCTATCATAAGTTTTAGAATGTATAACATGGAATACTTTTATATATTTCAAATACACTAAATGACACTTGAGTGATGTTGAACGTGCTTTCATATCGGATTTTCATGATAACAGTCAGTAAGTGGGGGACATAGAATCTTCATGGTGAAGGTAGGAGCGTTCACTACTTCCTTCCTGTGATTTTTACAAAAGGTGTCTTCATGAGCACAGTAAGAAATAAAATAAT